GAGCTCGCCTTTCCGCGTTACTTTCGCCCAAACCCCGCTTGAACGCCTACCAAATTTCTGCCGTGTCTGAGGAAACACCAATGACTTAGCAAAGACGTAATATGATTTATTTTGGGTGTCACCGCGATTGATTCCTGCGCTGACCCCTTTTCATTCATAAGCCTCCCCACCCCCTCTGCTTCCCCCTCCCTCCTGGATATATGAGTTTTGTGTGTTAAATTCCACGTTGCCAGAAAGCTTTCGGAAAGGGATCCGCGAAGCCGGGTCAGAGCAGCAGAATGGCCGTGGAAGGAGAGCACAGATTTATAAGGCCGAGGGGGAGGTCCGGTTTGTGATGCTGAAAAAGAGGAGAGAAAAAAAAAAGAACGGCCTTTTTCAGGCTGATCTCTTACCCCTTTTTCCTCTATAGCATGTATTTGTTGACTAAAATACCGGCACGCAACACTCCCCCAGGGTGGATTTTTTTTTGCAGTTACTCAAAATCTTCCCTTTCCGGCTTTTTTTTTTTTTTTTTTTTTTTTTTGCTCGGGTGCTTTAAAAACCCACAAATAAACACCCGTAATCGCGACATGGCACGTCTGTATTTTCTGCTGCAAGAGCTAAGAGGAGGAGGAGTGGGCTGAAGGCAAGAAGCAGCGCTCGCCCGGCCAGGCCGGGTTGTGGGAGAAGGGAGGATCGCCACGGGGAACGGGCCGCGGAATGTGCGGGGGCTCCGCGGAGCGACCGCGGCCCCCGGCGCGGCCCCCGCTCCGCTCCGAGCCCGGCCTTTGTGTTGCTTTCCATCCCTTTATCCGGAGATTTCCTTACGGGAGGGCTTTTTAGTTACAAAAAATATAACCACAAACGTTAAAATTGGAAACAAATGTCCTGCTTGGATTTAGTAAAAAAATAAAATAAATAAACCCCAATGCAAACAGAAGTGAACACAGCAAATATTTCTAACTCCCGAAGCCTCTTGAAACGTTAGTTGAGAGCAATTTCTTTTGTCTTCTCTCTCAATGCACACGAGGAGATTATTAGGACATCATTAGTGCAAAGCAGGAAAGAGGAAAGCGAATGATTTTGGCAAAAATCAGCACGTTTTCCAATGAAATATGTAGCAACACACGTTCCTTGGTTTTATAAAGTCATTTATTTACTCTATGAAAATAATGTACAATAAATAATTTGCCATTTACTATTAAAGGATTTGAATAAATAGTCTACATCTAAAACTTAAAAAGAGGAAGGAAAAGTCCTCTGTTTTTATTTTATTTTATTAAGAAATCTAAAAGTCTCGTTCTGATTCCTGAGAAAGTCGCTTGAGGGATTTACAAATGTTTTCTCTTGGGGGCTGACATCTCTGATGTGCGTGAGAACTATCGGGTGCCTTCTTTCAAATAAATAACAAAAAACAAACCAGAACAAACCTATACTTAAATACTTGCATTTAGCAAAACTCGGGCTCTTCCTTCGTGTGAGCCTTCTAGAATAAATATTGGAAGGGTGATGCGGGTCCCACAGTGTGAAGAGCTTTAAAAGAAAGTGTTTGGGGGGCGGGACGGGCTGACTGAATGAGAGATGGCTTGGGTTGATTTTTGGGGGTCCCCTCCCCGTTACAGAAGACTGAGGGGATCCGGCCGTGGCTCGGGACGGGGCAGAAACGGCGAAGAGGGCCGGGAGCGGGGGCCGCTATTGGAAATTTAAATGTTGCAAATCTATAGTACAAAGTGCGCTCGTAAAAAAGTCCAGATCTTCCTCGGAGAAGTGGACGGGGCTCTCCAGGGAGCCCTGGAGGCTGGGGGAAAGCCCCTCCGAGAGCTGCAGGCAGGACTCTGCCGAGAAGATGCTCAGCTCTTGCAAAAAAG